TCTTTAATACGAGTCGAAACTTAATATTTTCAAACTCACCCACTAATAAATTATTTGTGTAACTGATTTTGACGTAAAAGTGTCTTTGCAATACAACACCAGCTTTCAATAGTTATTTGCAACTAGTTGTCATATCACGCAAATAAATTTAGAGTGCAAATAGTTGATATTTAGAAAGAAAAAAACAAACAGAATTAAAAAATTTACTGAATTCTTTGAGAAATCTATCATTTATAGTGAAATTGTAATCTTCTAAATTCTTTTTGATCTCCCCAAATAACTAAAAACAAGTATACCTACGGCGAAAATTAACTTTTTTTTTTGAAAAGAGAGAAACAACAATAAACAAAAAAGGGAAAATACCTACATTCAACTCACTATTTTTTCATTAATCAGTATTCAGTTTTATTCTTCTATATCATACCATTTGCACCTTCTTTAACGACCGATGTTTCCCGAATACCTCACGAACGTCATTACCAAGGAGGAGAGTAATAGTTATTTTCCTTAAAACAATCGTAATATGAATTCAAATATTTTTCTCTAACATCACAAAAAGAAATGAAAGAAAAATTACTCAATGGACGTAATGGCGTTAGGGGTGAGGTAAGAATCACATGCAAGAGTGTCCCTCCATATTTCATTATGCTCCTTTTGGACAATTCCATACGAATGCTGCCTACGCCAATTTCTGTCTTAAGATTATAATAATCATAATCACTACGGCATAACTTCATTCAACATCAAATATTAAGATTATTTGTATGTACGCGTGGTGGCCAGATATTTATTATTGTTATCTCAAACACATGTGAATAGAATTGCAAGAGTCGAGGAAAAAATAAGGCTCCAATCACGTACGATATATGCTTAAGATCTTAGAATCTAGTGATCATTTGTGATTGGCTTGTCCTTATGCATTTCCGTTAAATTCATGGGTCAACTACAAAAATATCATTTTTTGTGTGCATATTTACAAAAATACCACTTAGGGATGTCCATTTACAAAAATACCATTAATTATAGATTTA